ATACACACATAATGAGTCAAATTTATTCACCAGGCTTCTGGCATTTGTGTAAAAACAATATAAATTGACGTTGTTTCTGGGGGCTGAGAGATTGTTCCTCTATTTATTACGTTAATATTTTCTACACTGTCGCTTTGGTTTTGAACATGTTTGTCTTCCGAGATATAATGAGTTAGTGTTGTCTGGCTGAGCGAAGGATTATATATTATACTACATCTACTATCTTGATCACCTGCTCTCTCCTGATCTTTAGCTTTGCATATTGAATTGTTTTTTTTTTCTTAACTCCAGTTTTCCTCTTAGCAGTTTAGGTAGGTTTATTTATTATGCACCACATAACCATCTTGTGGGCGGAAGTGGAAAGGGTTACAGAGGCACATAATTGGCTCAAGAACTGAACCCCACAATTCATTCAGCTAAGCAAGTTACAATTTTGATGAGCTAGTCACAAAATTCAATACTCATCGTCACATCATCAATAGGTTCGAGATCGACCAAAAGTACAGTTTCTAAATTAAGCAACTGACATATGCGGAGAGCTAGTGCTACAGTTTATATGTTTGTCCTGCCCCCCATCCAGTGGGCAGCGGTGGATAGGTTACAATCAGTTAGTTACTACCTACATTTAGCAAACTGGGGATATTTGGCTAAGGTTTCTGGTAGCCTATCATTTTGAATTAAATATTTACACATCTCTGAAACATTTGTTCTAGAATTGTCTCTGAATTCATGTATCTTTTCGCACTACGTGAATTCAGAGACAATTCAGTCTCTGAATTCATGGAGTGCAAAAATATAGGTTTAGCAACCTGTCGTTTTTTTGCTGCTCAATTGTGAGATCTGTAGATATGTATACTTGGTTATGCCCCTCAAGATCTTTGAGGTAGTGGGCTTTATTGAGTAATTTCCATGTTTGCAAATTTTGCAATGGTTATTCGTACCATATTTGCTTCAGGCCTACCTAACCTCCCAACATTTGATATAATTAATGCTTGCCTATCAGTTTCTCAATCATTTCCTCAATGAGTTCCTGGTCGTTCCTGCCCTCTTCGTTCGCAAGATTTCTTATAATGAGGTTGTTTTTTCGTATTAGCCTATCCCTGTTTTCTGCATCCCTCTTCGGAACTCCTGCAGTCGTTGAATACCTCCCCCCCCCCCACTCCCCGAGTGTCTAATTTCCCCCCTGGGTGTACTTGGTTGGTCTCGAGAAGCCTGCTGTACGTGTATTTTAGAATGCTCGTTTAAGGTAGTAAAACAAACATTGATAACTAAGTGGAACCTCTGGAGAACGTATAAATTCCCGATGGATATCACTCATTACGAGATATATAAAATGGCACTAAACTTAGCCACCCCAGGAAATCAGATCAGCAGCCGCCTCCGGCGGCAACAATCAAATCAATCCAAAAGAAACTATGAAAGAAAACTTGCCCAAAACATAAGGAAAGATCCAAACCCGTTCTATGCCTATGTAAGAAGTAAAATCAAAACGCAGGACTTGATCGTTGGGACCCTTAAAAGATGAGACTTACCAGATTATAATGGATAATAAAAGAGCAGCAAACACTAAATGAATACTTTACATCAGTGTTCACAATTTAAAGGTTAGATAACATCTCATCACCCACACAAATGTTTGAAGGAGGTAAAGATAATGAATTTAGGGATATACCCATAACATGCGATGTAATCTGGAAGAGCATCGACAAACTAAAAGACTCAAAAGCCCTAGGTGTGGATATATGGAATCCAACCCAAAGTTATAAAGAAACTGTCAAAAGAACTATGCCTACCAGTGAAATTACTTTCCACAATATCTCTGGACCAAGGGATAGTCACCCTAGATTGGAAATATGCAGATGTCACCCTTTCTGCCTTTTCGAAAAAGGCAGAAAGAGCTCGGCGAACTACCGTCCGATTAGCTTGATAACACACATTTGCAAGCTTATGGAGAGAATCCTCAGTGAGGGAATCATTCACTATCTTTCAGTGAACATTCTTGTAAAATCGACACAATATGAGTTTGTTAAATGTAGATCCTATCTTGCAAACCTGCTCACATTTTTTTGAAATGATAACCAGCTACTCTGACAAAAGATTCCCGGTTGATGTAGTATACATGGATTTTGTTGAAGCCTTTGATAAGGTACCACATGAAAGACTGGCAAAGAAATTGCAGTCACGTGGAATAAATGGAAGAATACTAGACTGGATAAAAACAATGGTTAAAATAATGAAAATAAAAAGTCATGCTAAATGGGAATGAATCTGGAGAAATGTGGCAAGTGGAGTACCACAGGGGGTACTGCTGCACAATGACAGCCCCTTTCAAAGCTGGAGAAATTGCCGACCTTGAGAGCGTGCAGAGATCCTATACTGCTAGAATTCACTCAGTAAAACACCTAAACTATTGGGACCGACTAAAGAGCCTAAATCTGTACTCCCTTGAGCGCGGCGGGAGAGATATATAATAATTTACAGGTGGAAAATGTTAGAGGGGCTGGTCCCAAACCTGCACACAGAAATAACATCACATGAGACCAGAAGACATGGCAGGATGTGCAGAATACCCTCGTTGAAAAGCGGAGGTGCAACAGGTACTCTGAGAGAGAACTCTATCAACATCAGAGGCCCGAGACTGTTCAACACGCTTCCGCTACACATAAGGGGCATAACTAGCCGACCCCTCACGGTGTTCAAGAGAGAACTGGATAAGCACCTCCAAAGGATACCTGATCAACCAGGCTGTGACTCATACGTCAGGCTGCGAGCAGCCGCGTCCAACAGCCTGGTTGATCAGTCCAGCAACCAGGAGGCCTGGTCGACGACCGGGCCGCGGGGACGCTAAGCCCCGGAAGCACCTCAAGGTAACCTCAAGGTAAGGGGGGTCCATTTTAGGGCCAATCCTTTGTCATTGTTTGATTGATTGTTGCCAGTTTATTGTGCACCCCATACTCATCCTCTGAGCGGTAGCGCAAAAAGCATTACAGAGGGCACAAAAGGTCTTTATCAGACCTCATCTTAAATTATTACAGAAAGAATTTCATCTATCCTTCACACCTTATAGTTACATGTCAGCTAGTTACAGAGAATGTTCTATTTTAAGAGCTATATATTTACAGTAAGTCATTACTTTTTGTCATATACATTAGTGACAGATGAGAGTATTACAAACCACATCATCAAATTTGCAGATTCTAGTTTAATTTAGTTAATTTATTATGCACCCCATACCCATCCTGTGGGCGGTAGTGGAAAGGGTTACAGAGGCACATAATGGGCTCAGGGACTGAACCCCACAATTCATTTAGCTAAGCAAGTTACAATCTTGATGAGCTAGTTACAAAATTCAGTATAAGTCGTCACATCAAAAATGGGTTCGAGATCGACCACAAGTACGGTTTTTAAATTAAGCAACTGACATATGTGGAGAGCTAGTGTCACAATTGATATTTATGGTAAAGTAGGAAATGATAATGATATCTGTAGCCTTACGAAAAGATCTACATGAACTCCACAAATGGTCAGAAGACTGGTAAATGCTTTTTTATATTGACAAATGCAAGGCCTGACATGTGGGACATAGTAATCCACGCCACAATTACCAAATTAATAACATTACATTACATTACAGCAGACTGATGAAGAAAAGGACCTTGGAGTCAAAATCCATCACTCACTGAAAGTGGCACAGCAGGTAGGAACTGCAGTCAAAAAAGCTAACCAAACCCTTGGAATAATCAAGCATACCTTGACACTAAAGAAAATAATGTAATGATTCAATTGTATAAATCTGTTTTTCGTCCCCCATTTTGGATTATTGTATCCAAGCATGGAGACCACATCATCAGAAGGTCATAGCTGCTCTGGAGAAAGTGCAACACTGGGCATCAAAAATCATACCAGAGCTAAGTCAACTCGCGTATCAGGAACGGTTGAGAGCCACAGGACTAACAACACTGCAAACCAGGCATGACAGGGCAGATATAATTGAAACTTTTTAAATACTGAAAAAGTTAGAGGATATTGATCCGGCAATTTCTTCAAAAGGTTAGATGTAACACAAACAAGGAGCAATGGTTTCAATCTCAACAAGCCACGATGTAGGACCTAAGAACAGAAGATGCTTTTCACCCACAGGGTTATAAACCCATGGAACTGCCTACCTGCCAAAGCCATAAATACCAAAATTGTTAAATTTTAGTCCAACTGAAAATGATTATCAAGGCAAATGGGGGGGGGGGAATATTCGTCAAGTTGCCGGCTTTTTGTCCTTGTCGAGGCCACTAGTGTTAGTGGCCCTCAGGTAAATTCAGGCAAATTTCTGATAATGCAGGAGGTCTTAAAAAAAAAAAAGATACGGTAGCAGATAATTGTTATTCTTCTCTTATTGGCACTGTGCGATGAAGTGATAAGTGTTTACCTGCCACCATAGTTGGAACTCGCATTTTCCTCAGATGCTTTTATTATGGTTTATCACTGCTAAAGTCACTCCTGTATGATGAGAGGTTAAGAATGCTTAATATACATTACTGTATCTGCAAAGGCAAAATGTACTGGGTGACATGATTAAGTACAGTATAGAAATGGATGAAAGTGGATACAGGTATTAATAATGTGTTAAATATATCAAACTGGACCCCAATCAATATACAAAATATAAAAGTTTAGATTCAGAAAATCTCTGGAGTAAATACTGGTTTGAGAATAGGATTTTGAATTATGTAACAAATTACTAGGTAACATTAGAGGATAAGGGATTGTTGGCTTGTTTCAAGCTAAGATTAAACCTATATATGAGTAAGTTTATCTATAAATAGAAACTCCCTAGCATGGGCTGATATATGCCCTCGGCAGTTCCCTTAATTCTTATGTTAAGTCTAATGTGTACATTATTCATCCAATAACCTCCTGAAGAAGTTTAAAGAATGGTATTTTATTCAACTCACAATGAAATACTGAACTGTTGATTTGTGTGCTAAAATAATTATCTCTTGCAGATCAAATTAGGACTGGTCCATATAGCTCACTCTTCCACCCAGACCAACTTATTACTGGTAAGGAGGATGCTGCTAATAACTACGCCCGTGGCCACTACACTATTGGAAAGGATAAAGTAAATGCTGTAGTAAACAGGGTCCGCAAAATGGCAGAAAATTGCACAGGTCTTCAGGGATTCTTAGTCTTTCATTCATTTGGTGGTGGCACAGGTTCAGGATTTACGTCATTGCTAATGGAAAGATTGTCTGTTGAATTTGGCAAGAAGAGCAAACTTGAATTCGCTGTGTATCCTGCACCCCGAATATCCACTGCAGTGGTTGAGCCTTACAATTCCATCCTTACCACCCATACTACTCTTGAACATTCAGATTGTGCTTTCATGGTTGATAACGAAGCTATCTATGACATTTGTCGCAGAAACATGGATGTTGACTCTCCCTCTTATGGCAATCTTAACCAGCTGATAGCCCAAGTGGTATCCTCTATTACAGCATCTCTTCGCTTTGATGGTGCTCTCAATGTGGATCTAACAGAGTTTCAGACTAACTTAGTGCCTTATCCCCGCATTCATTTCCCATTGGTTAGCTATTCTCCAGTGATTTCTGAGTCTAGAGCAGGTCATGAAGAGTTATCTGTTGCAGAAATAACCAATTCTTGCTTCGAGTCTATTAACCAGTTGGTAAAGTGTGATCCTCAGCTTGGAAAGTACATGGCCTGCTGTCTTCTTTATCGTGGAGATGTAGTTCCAAAAGATGTAAATGCTGCCATTTCTCATATTAAATCTAAGAGAGCTATTCATTTTGTGGAATGGTGTCCCACAGGATTCAAGGTAGGCATAAATTACCAGAAGCCTTCTGTAATTCCTGGTAGTGGCTTGGCTGAAGTAAGTCGTGCCTTATGTATGCTGTCAAATACTACTGCAATTGGAGAGCCTTGGGCTCAACTTAATCGTAAATTTGACCTCATGTATGCAAAGCGTGCCTTTGTTCACTGGTATGTTGGGGAGGGTATGGAAGAAGGGGAGTTCACCGAGGCTCGTGAAGATTTGGGTGCTCTTGAGATGGATTATGAAGAAGTTTGTAAGGAATCAGTCGACGGCTCTGAGTCTGAGACTGAAACCAAGACCACTTACTACGCCGCTGGAACTGAAGGAGATGATAGCTACTAACAACATTATTGACGTGTAATCTTCATTACAATATGTTTACTTTTATTTCAGAGGTTATGCTATGTTAGGCAGGGATATACGGTATTGTCTTTATTTTCAAACTTCTGTAAGGTACTGGATCTTCATTCAACGACACATGTAGCTTTCCTTTTATTATTAGTTTCTTGAATAAAGAAGATTATTGAATATTATTAAAACTATTCTTGAATAAAGAAGATTATTGAATATTATTGAAACTTGAATAAAGAAGAGTAAACATTATATTAATTTAATGCTTGTTTTCCTAACTACCCATTTGTGTTTGCCTAAATAAGTGCAGGTTTCAAATCCTGCCTTGGATTAACTTTAACTAAGCATCTTATTTAACAAAATTAAATAAGCTGTTCAAAACACTATGCATGCTAGTGGCTTTACAAAAATGTAAAACTTCAAGTCTTTGTACTCTTATAAATCCAATGTACCTTCTTGTATATAAATAAATACATAAATTACTCTGCAGTAGAATGTAATAACATACAATAATCATATACAGTGCAATTGTGAAATAAATATGCATTACAAAATTGTGTGGATAATCACTGTTGTGAACCCTATTTCACATTGTCAATATTTATACACAGCTGTGATTGCTAAATTGCAATAATAGTCGAACAAGAGTTAAGGTATGCTGCATTAATTAAAATATCCTCTGCTAAGGTGACTAAAATATGAAGCTAGTTAGAATAAAATTGAAGGTTAGCTGTAACTAATAACTTGAACAGAAAGGGCCTTCCCAAGGAGACTAGCTTCTCTTTTGTATAACAGGTCCTAGTATGGCTTTGAGCCTAAATTACATCCACCTGTACCACTCATGAACATTAAAACTTAAACAATTAACTTTGTTGTTGTTAACTAATTGTTAACAACAATTAACTAGATTTCTGTGTGTAGTTATTAAAACAGTTGTCAATGGATAGAATTAAGGCACATGTATACTAATGACGTTTTTATGAGGACCAAAGGTCCTTGCAAAGAAAACAATTTAATTAGAAGCAAGCATAGAAGAAGTAAAAGAAGCAAGTTTTTCATAAACAAATTTAAGAAATTTGGTAACTAACAGGTAGAATTTTAATTTGATTTAAAATGATGTAAAGTGCAGTATTTTTAATATTAATCTAGTGTTCTTCTAGACCAGGGTTCTAAGTCTGGATCCTAACCAATTACTGGGTCTCAAGGTCCTGCTGACTTGGTAGCAAGTAATTATCAAAAGAAGGTACCAAGCCGGGAAGGCTATGTAGCACCATCAATCTCGCTGGATATTCTAAAAGTGTTAAATATCACTGAGGATGCTAATATGAGAACAAAAGTACATAAAACAAGCAATACAGTATCAAAGGTATCAGATTCACCAAGAATTATGTCAAGGGACAAACAACCTTGAGGAATATTAATGCATTAATTAAAATATTAATTATTTTAATGTTAATTTTAATGTTAATGTTAACATCAGCAATAAAAATGATGGAAAGTTCCTTGGCCTATACTTAGACAAGAGACTTAACTTCAGCACCCACATGCAACACAACCAAAAGTCTCTCTAAAACAGTTGATATACTCTCTAAAATCAGATATTATGTTCCTAACTCTGCTCTCCTCTCACTATACTATGCACTTATCTATCCCTATCTTACATATGGTATCTGTGCATGGGTTCAACCACTGCAAACTACCTCAAGCCCATCATCACCCAGCAAAAATCTGCTTTCAGAACAATAACAAACTGCTTTCAGACAACACACAACCTCCCCCCCCCATTTAAATCCCTAAACATCTAAACATAAACTCACTCCACACATGCTCTTGTGCCATTTACATTTACAAAACCCTGTTCTTAAATGCAAACCCTGTTCTGAAACTTTCTGGACAGATGTAATAGAACCCATAATCACCACACCAGAAATAAATATAGTTTTGATATCCCCAGAGTCAAACTTAATCTGTGTAAACACACTGTGCAAATAAAAGGACCTAGTCTATGGAACTCACTCTCTAACGAATTGAAAAGCTCTCCAACTTTTGTCTTATTCAAAAACAACCAAAAAGTACATAATTTCATCTTCAGAGTTTCCTACCTAATGCTTTAAACTCACACTGTATCTAGTGCTACCCAATTCCCCAATGAATGTACCTAAGCCATACAACCTTACCATTTTAATCATTGCTTTCATTTTATATAATGGTTGTTATACTGAATGCACATTTTATTGCATTATACCTTGAAATAATCCTCAAATTATGCTACCATGTACTTGTTTATAACCCTCAAATTATACTTTAATGTACAGTACCTACTAATCTTTGTCAAATTTTCTTACAATGTACCTTTTAGCATTTTTTAAAATTTAGCTAGAAGTTACCTACTTAAAATTACATGTTAGATTAAGGACCTGCCCAAAACGCTTTGCATACTAGTGGCTTTACATGAATGTATAAACATCAATGTTATGTACTCTCATAAATGCAATGTACCTTCATGTACATATAAAAAACAAATAATAAATAAATATTAGGAAAGGAAGACGTATGAGCATCCTGAAAATCAGTACATTCCACAAGGAGGTGCATGACTAAGTGAGACAATAAGGATCAGGGGAGCATTCCATTAAATGTCCACGAGTTAAGCATGTATGGCCAATACATAACCTTGCCAAAGCCGTTTCCCACTGTCGTCTACGGTGGTAGGAAGAAGGTGCACATAAAATTACATAAAGTTCTGCCATGAAGATGCTAGTCTCCAGAGATAGGGGGCACATATAGGAAAGAAAAAGAAAAAAAAGAGTAGCCAACACCATCTGCAGACTTTGACCCATCCATGAAGAGGGCAATAGAGCACGAGTGGAAAGATAAGTGTTCCAGGAAAAGGCATTTCATAACTACAAGGAGTGGAAACCTATACCATGTGGGTCAGGGTCTTGCAAAACTTTGCAAGTGGAACCCGCCATGCAGGCAGGGATGGAATGACACGAGGAGAAATATTGCTAAAATGAACCGAGAGGAAATCTTGGAAGTGAGACTGTATCTGCATAGAAAAAAGTTAGGTAAGGTGGTGCCCACATGAGGGGGTAACAGTCAAAGCACTGTATAAGCAAGAGTGAGGATGTTGCAGGGACAAATGGTCACAATGCTCCTGTAAAGACAACAGGTTTCAGTATACAAGCTCAGGGTATAGAATAGATGAAAAGTAGCAGAGCCGAGGTGTAACTCAGTATGATGCAGAGCATTAAGATGATGAAAAGTCACAGGGAAAGCAGAGGGATAGGCAGGACAGCCATAATTTTGTTTAGATACTGTAGCACAAGAGAGGTGTGTGTATCTATCACCCCCTCAACCCCACCAGGAATTATGGGATAAGACTACGTATGGTAAAGGCCTTATAGCATTCTACTTGGAGGCAAGATATATCAGGTGAACAAAACAAATGCGAGCCGCCCCAAAAGTTTAGCAGAATCTTTATACCAAAGGGGACTACCACAGAGCAACAACGGTAGATAAAGAACAATCTGCTGTCGAGTAAGCACAGTTCTTAGTTGTAGAGAACTTGAAACCACGATTGCTGGCCCAGGACAACATGGCATCAGTTACAAGTTGAAGCTGTCATTGAAGGAATTCGTTATTTTTAATGTTGAAGTTTAATAATGTTCATTACCCTAACAGGAAATGTAAGTCCTATTCAAATCATATCCTCAGACCTTGATAATGCAGATTTTGCATATTTCAATTCCTTACATATATACAGAAGTGTGGTTTTTTATTCTATATTATGTTTGTTATTAAATATTTCTATAACTGAAATATGTACAGAATAATATTGAATGTTCATCTGCCTGGTTAGTATAGAATTGTTCTATACTAACAAAAGCTCTCTCTTTTGTCACAGGTACAGGTTATTAGACCCCATTCATGTTGCCCAATTAAGACAGGTGGAAAAATTGGACATAGTGTATGAAAATTTTACCTTTATTGTATAACTATTTTACACAACTGCACAAATGACACAGCCAGACCAAAACTCAAAAGCATACAGCATTTACAATAATTACAAACAATAATTTTATTTGTAGTACAGTACATTCCTATACACTTCTGAAACAGAATTTGTATGTTTCTATACAGTATAGACAATTTTGATGAGAAAAATTACCAACACTAGAAACAGCCATATTTTACACATGTCATATAATCTCTAGATCCCAGTTTTTCTTTCTGATCTTCTCTTGTAACGCAACTATTTCAGACCTGGTCACCTTCCACGTTTCCAACTGTCCTATGTAAGCAAGTTGTGGACATGCACTAATTAAGGCATCACAAGACTTCATTGTAAGACTTGAGGGTACTCCATCCATAGTTCTCAGAGCACTTTGAACTTTATAAATAAATTTATGAATGTTAGATAACAATGGTGCAGCTCGGAGCAAAATATCATCATCTAACTGACCTTCGCCATCCTCATCTGTGATCATTGAAAGGACAAATGTTGTGAGGAGTGGACAACCACGAATAAAGGTTAAGAGAGCATCATCGTGAAGTACATTCTGGCCATGAAACTTAAGTGTGTGCAGCAAGGGAAACTTGGGTTTTTGATCAAGAGAGCCACTCATCTGTAGTGAAAAAGATCTAAGTGTTAACTGTTCTAATTTTGGAGAAGTCTGACAGAGGGAGATAAGGATAGGCCATTCCTCTTGATATCCTACATTGATATCTAGTGTTGTTAAGTTTTTCAAGTATTTACCATGAACATCAAAATCATCTGTGAAAATGGTAATGTCTTGAGCTTTTGAAAAACTTTTTAAAACTTTCTCGGTTACTTCAGTTGGTGCATAAATACCAACTTCTTTAACCTGTGTAAAAACTTTTGACAAGTATTCTGGATCTGGCTCCTGCATAGATTCCTCATAAACAAATGAAGGCCAGTTAGATTTTGGATAAGCACCATGATGAAAATTGGTTAGTTTTTGTGGAATAGGCAGTTTTACAACATCTTCAAATTCTTCAGTTACATAAATCATGGGTGCTCCAACAAGATATTCGAGGTTTGGCATACATGCCAATATCTCAATAGCATCGCTAGTAATGTCTAAAGTCTCAACACCCTCAGGTAATGCAAGAGTCACCAAATCCCTGCACCCAGGTGTAAGTCTTATTTGTCCATTACGAGAGAATAAAACGTCCCCATAAAGAACTTCAACATTAGTAACAACTGGAACATTATACTTTGGATTGGCACAGTCTGCAGAACATCGCAAAATCAGTATTTTTAGATTGGGACACAAGTATGCAATTTTCCTTACAAAACTATTATGAACAAAATGGGGCAACTTAATGAACCTCAGTGTTCTTAGCCCTGAAATATCAGCATCAAAAGCATAACTAAATATATCAAAATATGGGCTTTCACAGACTTCACCACTCCTTTTAATGGTTTGGCCTTCCCAACAAAGCAACTTCCATCTTTTCAACAAGTGTGATACATGAGAGAGATCCAAGGCTGCGACGCCCTTTGTCAGCAGACATCTTAAGCATGAACTTAGGAGAAAGCCTAAAGTATTTAGAAAGTCCAAGTCTTCCTCATAAACTCTTATCTTTTCTTTTGGTCTTGGAATTTCTATTCTAGATGCAATCACATTTATCACAGTTACTAAGATTTCTTCATGAAATCTAGGAGCTAAATTGCATGTTAAAAAGTTTCTGACTTCTCTGGCTAACCACTGGGTAACAGCATTAACTGTTCTGTACTGCTCTGGAACGGGAGTAAAATAACCAGCTCTGGAATAATCAATTTCTTTGTTGCTCTCATATACATCACTGTAGGTCAAGGGTTCGATATAATGCCAGTCCACTTGCATACTACCACCATAGTCCAAAATATTGAATGTTTCATCTAGTATTCCATCATTAATCTGATTGCCAACAACATTTCTATTGTCAAGTCTAGTATTTTCCAAACCAATGGTACATTTGCCACCTTTTTCACCCTTATACCATGATGAAAAAACACTAAACATGTGATTTGCTATTTTCCAGCTACATAACTTCTCCAGCCGATCAACAGGCTTCAGAAGCGGCATCAGTGATCCTTTGTGTTAGCCCAAAACCTAAATAAGAGAAAAATAGTTAGATAATTCAAATATAATCTAATAATTCATAATTGTACATCAAATGGATGAGCAGTCTTTTGAACCCTTCTGCTGTAAATAATGCTCGTGAGCACTTTCAGAGCGTGTGCAGACCATGCCAATGAATGCGGAGGCACTGAGACACTTTACATAAAGTCTGCAAATGTTTGGTAGAGCACAACTACCAGAGGTCTCTGTCCCCCGAGTAGCCTTGATTGGAAAAATTTGGGAATGGACCAGTGCCCACCTAACATTGGTTGAAAAACACATCTCTCTCCCGTGCCACCCTGCCAGAGCTCCAGCGGCTATGTCCCACCCTGCCAGAGTTCCAGCAGCTATGAACAGCCTTGGATTAACCAGTAAGCATAATAAGCACATGCTTAGGGCCTCAAGTAAATAGGGGCCCCATAAAGTTTTTTCCAGTGCTGGATTTACAATTGACTATGGTGTAGTGTTGCTGCTGAACCAGAGCACTAAAATGGCAGGCCCGCTATAGATGAAAAAAAATTAATATTATTATAATATGCTATGTACCTTCAAAGTAAGAAAGCAATGCAATAATAGGTGTTTTTTTCATATAAATAATATTTATTTACTGCAATATATATACAGAGTACCAACAAAAGAACCAACATAGGCCAACATAAGAATTGCTTTTAGAAACTTGTGTAAGGAATCATTCAGAACCTTGTATACCACATACTGTATGTCAGACCAATCCTGGAGTATTCAGCTCCAGCCTGGAGTCCATATGTACCTGCTTGATGTTGTTCTGGGAGTTCTTCTACTCCCCAAGCCCGGCCTGAGGTCAGGCTTGACTTGTGAGAGCTTGGTCCACTAGGCTGTTGCTTGGAGTGGCCCGTAGGCCCACATGGAATGGAATGGCATGGAATGGACTTTGGGTCTTCTTTTGGAGGACAGGCTGTATGAAGACGAGCTGCTTAGAGAGGTGGGATTTGAGCAGAGGTCACGAACAAGCACTGCTCGAGAGATGATGAGGCCGGGCTGTGTTGCTGAAGCAACCTGTCCTCCTGCAACCTGTCCGCTTCGTTCGTATGCGTTACATAAGGCCAAAAATCGTCACACTAGAAAACGAAACTGGCTTGCAAAAGCAACGCACAGTCTCGTTTGGTGTTTTAGGGCTTCTGGTAGGTTAGGACAAGGGGGCACTTTAAATTGACCTTTTTCTTGATGTTGGAAAACCTTAGGAGGACGGACTGCATATTCAGAACTGAAGTCCTCAGAGGGTCACTTTCAGAGGTGGGTTTGGTCACGTTATTCATTTTCAGAAATGGATAATGTGAAAGGAGGGGGGAGGGGGTGACCAGGAGGGGGGGGGGGGAGAGGGATGGGGAAGGGGTAACCAGGAGGTGGGGGAAGGGGGGGCCTGTGACACCCTGAACGCAATCACGATCAATGAATCAGCACAAAACATCCTCAACATCTTTCCCTGATGCCTGGAGAGTCTTCCAATAACCTTAACTTCAACTGAAACCTTGCAAGGTAGGTGTGCAAAAACACCCCTTCTCCCCCCCCCACCCCTCTTCCTCCATCACGGTTTACCCCTGGTGCTCACTCACACACATACCATGTGTAATTACCCAAGTGTAATTACCTAAGTGTAGTTATAGGATGAGAGCTACGCTCATGGTGTCCCACCTCCCCAGCACTCTGTCATAAAGCGCTTCAAAATTACTGACTTGGCGTGTACAGTTCTAATCAACCCCAAGACACTACAGCTTCGACACAGAGCAGACAGCAGATTACGACCGCATCGAGCTACAACGCTCTCACTCCCCATCGAGTTTAGGCACTCACGATTCCCCATCGAGCCGCCACGCTCTCCTGAATAGAGCTCAGCGACTCCAGCCGCACTCAGCTCTCTGCTCTGCTCCAAGCTCGGTCTGAACATCTACAACAATGCCAACAACCGACTACTGTAATCAAGACTACTAAATAAATATGAAACTCACTAAACATTGTCTCTCTAATCTACCCGACAACATAACCTAATCGTACGTTACAAGTTTCTCTAAAATGTGTCCAATAAAATGGTTTGGAACTGAAATTACATAGTCATGCATCAGTTTATAATTCAATCTCAAATAAAAATTAAAATAAAATAAAAAGGACAGTTTAAATATGTTTTATCCTGAAAAGGCAGCATACATGGACAAATCTCTCACCCTCAACACATTTGGATCCAGCACATTTGGTTATGTTTCATTTAGTAATTCACATAGCTTTGTTTTGTTTCAATATTATGAACAATTTATTCTAATAGTTCTATGACTAACTTAATAACCTAGCTCTATATAAATACATTCATTGCTAGGAGTGAGAGTTGAATTTGTATTGACCCCAAATAATGAAGAAGTTGGGGTGGACTCGCTTAACAGCCCCACAAGCCTTCACTGTATCTTATATGGTGTTGCCAACTTGCTACCGTGCAACCCGATCTTTTGAGAAAAATCATTATCACGTGCTTATGTGCTGTATGGATTATATCACTAATCTCACTTGCCATGTCCATCCCACAGAAAGCTTAAAACATTTTACAACTGAACCAGTAAAATGAGTCCCCTTACACTGGACCAAACCAAAAATGCCCTGGCGGCAATAAACGGCACTCAATTGCTGTTGCATAGAAGGGTTTATCAATGGTAGAAATGAGAAGAGTCAGTGTCTGCTAAAAGTAATTTACCGCTATTAGTGCCACCAACCGAAAATCTCCAGAGATGTCCAACAGCTGAGACGCACTCACCACGTAAACAAACTCCACACTCGCGTACCGGCTAAGATGTCTCCAAGTCAGGGTCACCTTCTTCATTTTCCTATGAAAGCGATAACAAATTAAGCTAATACATACAAGGAGAGAATGATAAGTGACTGAAAATGTCTGTGGCTTACAACTCTGAAGTTGACTATCTAACGCTCAGTTGCTTCAGATGATTTAGATGTTGTATACTGACTAGGCTGAAGGTGACTATGGGTTCCCCTTATCGGAGACAGGAAGCCTTAGTTGGTTAATCGAGGTCCTCCTAGAGAATAATATAATAATTCATATTTGTAACAAATACAGAGGATCTGATTACAGTGAATATTTAGTAAACATTTGTATTTTTTTATTAAAACAACCACAACAGTTGCATAATTTATGGGTACAGTACTTCATAATTCACGGGTTGCATAAATATAATCCGATTCATGAACCCAATGTATCTTCTTGTACATAAATAAATAAATTCACAATCAATAATTCCTTGTTGGTTTATCCCGGACGTGACAGAAATGGTATGGGAGCATTTCCTCTCACCTAATAAACCTGTTCACCATAGTGATGTCAAGCATCATACTCACCTCACAGTATACCTGATTTACCTGTGGTTCACTACTGGCTATATCCCGTGCTACTTGGAACTTTTTGTTTCAAGTAGCGGAATCTAAAAACAACACAACAACCTGTGGGCCACTAACCCTAGTGGTTCAATGAGGACAGGAAGCCGGCGGCTTGTCGAAGTACTCCCCCCTCCCCCATCATTTGCCTTGATGATCTTTTCCATGTAGAATTTAAAACTTAACACAGTTTTGGCATTTTCCGCTTAGGCGAGTCGTGGTCCATGGGCTTATAACCCAGGGGGTTAAAAAAAACATCTGTTTTCAGTTTAGGAAATTCCTAAATCAGTTTTCAGTGAGGTCTCCATATTTGAATACAGTAATCCAAATGGGGGGGGGGTGCACCAGAGATTTATACAGTTGAATCATTGCCTTCTTTTCCTTTAATTCAAAAGTACGTTTGATTATTCCCAGGGGTTGATTAGCTTTTCTGACTGCTGATCCTACCGGTTGTGCAACTTTTAGTCAGTGGTGGATTTTGATTCCCAGGTCCTTTTCTTCACCAATCTGCTGTAATGTATTATTTGGATTACTGTATCCAAGAATAGAGACCTCACTTTCAGAAGGTCATAGCTACTCTGGAGAAAGTGCAACACTGGGCAACAAAAGTAATTCTAGAGCCAAGCCAGGAGCCAAGTGTTACAAGAATGTAACAACTCTTGTATATATCTAAAAAAAAAGTCATCTCTCGTATCAGAAACGGTTGAGGGCCCCAGGACTAACAACATAGCAAACAAGGCATGACAGGGAGGTTCTCATTGAAACCTTTAAAATATTAAACAAATTGGAGGATGTTGATCCTAACAATTACTTCAAAAGGTCAGATGTAATACAAACAAGGAGCAAGGTTGAGCAAACAAACCTCAATGTAAGACTGGGAACAGGTGTTAGTTCATTTATTATGCACCCCATATCCATCTTGTGGGCGGCAGTGGAAAGGGTTACAGGCACATAATAGTCTCGGGGACAAAACCCCACAATTTATTTTGCTAAGCAAGTTACAATCTTGATGAACTATAATAGTTACAAAATTCAATGCACATCGTCACATCAACAATGGGCTCGAGACCGACCACAAGTACAGTTTTTAAATTAAGCAACTGACATGTGGAGAGCTAGTGCCACAATTGAACAGGAGATGCTTTTTCACCCACAGGGTTATAAACCCATAGAACTGCCTACTCGCCAAAGCTGCAAATGCCAAAACTGTTAGATTTTCAAATCCACCTAGAAAAGATCAAGGCTAATGGGGTGGCCCCTTTGACAAGCAGCCGGCTTCCTGTCCTTGTCGAGGGCACTTATGTTAGTGGCCCTCTGGTAAAAATCAGGTAAATCTTCAACGGAACAATTAGTTGCATATTAGATCCAAACATCACAAACCAACTTCATCTACTGCATATCCATCTCACAGGCAACTATCCCAATTTTTGTATATATATCATTTCCCAGCAGGTTCTTTAGGTGTTATTTGTATAATCTACTCACTTGGAACTAATTTAGACAACCCCTGTGAAATCTACTAAGTGATAATACTAAACCTATAAGAGCTTTGCGAGGTATTTTAGCAGTCCATAACATTACAAGAAATTACCAGAACGCTGAGCATTCTCTAATACCAGTATTCTGATAAATGTCAGAGTAACTACAGAACAAAGTGCAGCTCACATTGACTTTAACGATTATAAACCAATATCAATTAATTCAAAAATAATTATAAACATAAAACTATTTTCTGAACTAAATGAAAGGGAGGATATTTTCAGGATAAAGCACAGCCAGAACGACTATAGAATTTGGAATGGATAGGAGGACAAGATTAAGTTTGGATTTACCCAGGTCTTTATGTAAGACATGGGTAAATATTGGTGTGGTAATAGGGTTATGGATTTGTGGAACAAATTAGCAGTCAACATAATGGACATAGGATCCCTTGATTGTTTCAAGTGTAGGTTAGACATTCATATGTATATATGAGTGAGTTTGGGTGGATATAAATAGGGGCAGCCACATATGGGCCAATAGACATCCTGCAGTTTCTTTGATTCTTATGTTCTTATCTATAAGGCGGAGGGATGGAACAGTGCACAACCACATGGATACTTGAGGATTGAATGCCCTCTACATGAAGCGAGGCTATCCCTGTAGTGTACTGACAAACCAAGTGGTTGAATGGATAGTTACTCTTTCAAGCAAGGTCCTGTCATTCCAATGGACAGGACTATGCTGTCAAATATTTTTGACAATGTTGGTAAGTTTGGTATTGAAGTTAATAATCATAATAAACTCCAGCATCAATCTTTTCCATAACACCTTAATGCTTGATGGAGTAACGACCAGTTCAGTTCAGGAAATAATAGTTTTGTTTATAATTTTTGTATTAAATGACCTAACCAGCTTATCTTTAGCAAACATAAGTGGTAAACACTGATGGGTATTTCTGAGGTCAAGCAAAACACAGAATGCAGGATTTTTTTTATTTAACTATAAATAAAATTATGTAACACAAAGTAGAAGCGTAAATGAACATTGTTATGGTATTCATGTAAGTAAGCACAGTTAAGAGGTGCTGTGCATGCATAAGTGATGTGAACAAATTCCAGGTGCATGTAGTAGGTAGGGAATACAGCTTAACCAAAGGTCCAAATTTGTAGGAAGCTGTATTGGGGCAGTGAACATAAACTACTAGGTAACAAGATGTGTGTGAGGAATGCATGAGGAAGTAAGGAGGGTAAGGGGAGAGTGCAAGTTAGCAGGCAACTGGTTGAAGTTGTGAACAGAAGTAAAAGTGGGGGTGTAAGATGGGGATGGGGGGTCAGGCATAAGCCCCTCACCCTTGAAAAGGTGTGCACAAGGGAGTGAGTTGGAGTAGAGGGGTGTGTGTGTCCAACCCGTTCTCGCAAATTCGTAAAGTCAATATTGACTTATTAACTACGTGCATAGGTGATATACTAAACATAATAGATACCCTTAAAAAGATTCATAGAAAACACCGACCTTACCTAACCTTGTTAGTATCTTAAGATAAGCATCTTATTGCTTCGTAATTAAAATTATTACTTAACCTATACCTATTATAGGTTAGGTAATAATTGTAATTACGAAGCAATAAGATGCTTATCTTAAGATACTAACAAGGTTAGGTAAGGTCGGTGTTTTCTATGAATCTTTTTAAGGGTATCTATTATGTTAAGTATGTCACCTATGCACATATTTATTAAGTCAATATTGACTTATTAAATTTGCGAGAACGGGTTGACACAGCAATCACAAATGCCAGTGCTGGGTTTGGGGAGTCTGTGGGATGGTGTTACAAGAAAGATGAAAATGTTGCAGTGTGGGGCAGCTCTTGAATGTCTTCAGTGATCCACAGTCACGCACAATTAGATCAGGACTGGGTCGTGTTCATCCTATAGGTCAGTGTTAGCAATTTGGATGTTTTACATCTAGATCTAGATGATTTAGTTATGTCAGGTTGTCAGAAAATGCTATTCCGATTTAGATGATCTACATGGCTTTAAATAAAATCTTGGATGTTTTTAGATGATTTGACCAAATTTGTACCAGAACAGATATTTGCAAGTCACCAAGTCCGAGCGTGCTATCGTACCTTTATTTTTTTTCACTGGTTGGTTTGTTGTTTCTGTATAAAGCAACTAGCCTCACTGCACACACAGTACAGACAATTAGTACAGGACTAGAACTGATGACTCGGTGGCATCTGTAGCTGTGCAACAGTGAGTTTTTGAGTAATGGCATACAGTGAGAGCATTTTTAAATAAACTGATAATAGTGCTTTGTTGTCATAGTTTATTGTACTGTATGTGATTTTTGAATAACTGAGACACCCACTTAAGAGATTTGGGCAGCTCGAAGAAACTCCAGTCCAACCTATGTTGCATAGACTGTGTGCAGCTGAGGAGAGGACTCCTGACCCAACAGCTCCAAACCCAAAAAGAGGAGGGGGAACCAAAGGCCAAGGAGGAGACCTGAAGACCCACAAATTACAGGAAGAGGAGCAAGCAATAACAACCTTCCATGATGCAGAATGGAGATGACAAGCAGAAGTGGCAACCACCAAAATAAGCTCAAGGGCCTGCAAATCTGACACTGCTGAAGACCTACCATGCTCGGCCGAGCGGACAACACGCTGGACTTGTGATCCTGTGGTCCCGGGTTCGATCCCGGGTGCCGGCGAGAAACAATGGGCAGAGTTTCTTTCACTCTATGCCCCTGTTACCTAGCAGTAAAATAGGTACCTGGGTGTTAGTCAGCCGTCACGGGCTGCTTCCTGGGGGTGGAGGCCTTTAGTGTCCCCGGGCCGCGGGGACACTAAAGCCCCGAAATCATCTCAAGATAACCTCAAGATACCTGACCAACAACAGGCAAGGTTCAACCCTACCAGATTGCCTCCAAAAAATGGCGACAGCAGAACCCCCAAAGAAACAACAACTGACTGA